TAAGTACCAAGTATCAAGGCAGCGGACTGTGGAGGTGTAAAGTAAAGGAAAAAGTTGGTTTACTGGTGAAAAGAAAGGACTGATTTACGATTTTATTCATTTTAAATTCTGGATGATGTTGATGAAGGTAAAATGTAAATGATACCAGGAAGACCAGATGTGTGCATTATTTTGAGCACTCAAGAGAGGACGCACACTCACGAGGCTGTTGGAAGAAGAGGGATGAGGCTTACAATGTTCTGAGATCTGGCTCAGGACGTGGCAGTGGCAGGCTTCTCTGGTGGGAATCCAACCTCTTGTGCACGGTTTGCAGTACCAAAAAAAAAAAAAAAAAAAGAAAAAAAAAAAGAGGTTCTGGTGGAGAAAAATTATGTCACCAGCTGTTTCTGGCTTCTTTCTTCCCTCTGTTTGGAGACTGCTGGCTTCCTTGTACAGGAATTGGGAAGCATCCCTCTGAGAGCTCCAGAAGGTCTCTGGAGTGTCTGTGGTAAAAAACCACCCTTCCCCAATGTCAGAGCACTGCATGCATGTGTATATATATATATATATAAATGTGTGTATATACATATGTACATATGCTTAGGTCTATTAGCATGGAGAGAGAAAACACCGTCACAGAGCTGTATCTTTGTGTTCTTACAGTCTTAATGTTGTACAGAGAACAAGAACAGAAACAGGGAAGGAAACAGGTTTTTTGCTCCAAGCAAATAGCTGCAGTTCTTGAAATATATTTCACTGAGAAAAAGCAGAATGGGTTTAAGAGAATAATAACACAGAAAAGCAAAAGCCCATTTTTCAAATTAATTAAACTCGTATAACAGGCCAACGTCTTGGTAGACAACCTTTGAAGTGCACAGAGCTATCACCCTTGCCCAAAACCTGAATATAAAACACATCCTTTATCTGTACTCTCCCGGACCACCTGCTCTATGTGGATGAGCCCAGCTGCAGCCCAAGGAATTGCAGGAAAACAGTGCAGGGGGAAGAAGGTGGAGAAAATAGATGGCTCCACTGTTTTGTGTCCAAGGATCTCCAGGCAGAAGGCAAGAGGACAGGACACGTCTGCAGCGATGTCCTCAGAAAACCCCAAAAATCTGGAACAAAAGCGACCCTTGCACTTGGCAAGTGTGGGCAAAGTGAGGGACAAAATAGCATTTTTGCTATCACTTGCAAAAGCAATCCAGTTACTACAATCTGCTTCATCCGAGGCTTTCCAGCTGCTCCTGCTGTGCATTAATCCTCACCAGAACATCCTGAGGATAACAGAAGAGCTGGGGCGGACAACTAGAAGACATCTGCCACGCAGATTCATGCAGCCATGTGGCAATTTTTAATGAGCTGGTGGCTTCAGATGGACAGGCCTGTCTAAGGGAACAGGGGCAGCCCTGGGGCATGGTTACTAGAAGGTGTGAGAGCTCCTGGGTGCTGCAGACCAGCACTTGCAGCAGCAGATAATGCTGTGGTGTTCCTGTCACTTTGTTAATGAGGCCAGGGGCTTTCTGGCTCAGCAAATGTGTATCCCTGGCCTGTAGAGTATTCGTAGGGGGGAATATTGGCTTGATGGTGCTTTATGTGCATTCTGGCAGCAGATATCTTTAATAGGGTCACTACCCGGAAAAGGCTGTAATGATACATCGTATATTCGGAAAGTGCCATTTATTGGAATTGTCACATTTATGGAGAAATCGATAACATTTTAAAAATGCTTTTAATGTTTTACACCACATGTACAGCTAAAGGAAAATAATGGACTTTATTCTCATTTACCAGGAATGACATGTTCCTATTGAAAACCAAAGTTTTAAAAGAGTGACTTCTACATTTGAAACAAGATATTTGATACACAGATATTAAGGCATTGGATGAATATCTCAGCTCCATAGCACTGTGTTAGTTATAACAAACTAGAAAATGGAGACATTCTTCCATGCAGGTTTTCAAATGGAAAATTTGAAATCTTTGGAAGTTTATCTTCAAAACAAGCTTTTCAAACCAAAATAAATAAATAAATAAATAAATAAATAAATAAATAAATAAATAAATCATTTGCAGCCAGCTATCCTAAATCTCTTAGAAATGTTTTGCTGAGTTTAGGGCTATTTCTCTCATCATTTCTCCTAGAAGGCAAGGGCATTGCAACAAACTCTGCTGATTAAAGCACGGACAAAAGATGCAGATTAATATTAAAGACCAGAGAAGTTCCACAAACAGCTGTCACGCAATGTCATCATTATCAAATCTCATATTTCATCATCACCCAAAACCAGATGAAATTTTCACGGGCTCATAACCAGGAATTCGCTGCTCCCTGAGACTCGTAGGTGGCAGCGCGTAAAAGCTTGCCCAAAAAAAAGCGTGTAACTTTGCACAAACATTTCCAAAACTGTTTCCTCACAGCAGATGTCCCCTGTGCAGCCAGCAAACACCCCATGTGCCCAAGTATTTCTCTGGAAGGTGCTGGAACATCCCATATATCCCTGCAGGGCCCCACACGTGCAGGCCCCGCTGCGGCACAGCCTAGCCTTCCCCACCCAGCCTAGGCCTCAGTAGAAAACTCCACAGAACAACTGCCACAAATCAGACTAAAACAGGGATTTCATCAGGGAAATGTGCTTTTAATTTTGCATCTTTTTGTAACAGGCCCGCTGAAGAGCGTGGAAAGAGGAATAATTAATGCATGAGGCCTGGGAGCAGCCTGGGCAGCACTGGCAAAGATTTCCTGGGAAGCCCGGTTTAATTGTGCCTGCCAGCCATCTCCCAGCAGAGCATGGCAGCACGGACGCCTTGCGGGGACAAGGAGCCAGCTCGCGGAGCTGCTTTGATGTTTTGAGGTTGTCCCGGCCCTGAGGGGGGCCCCCAGGGTGAAAATGGGGGTGAGGCAGGGAAACATCGCTGTGGAGCTCAGACCTGCAGAGGGCTTTGGAGGATGAAGAACAGAATGACCTGAGGTATTTAGGTCAGAGGTTAGACTCGATGATCTTGAGGTCTCTTCCAACCTAGACAATTCTGTGATTCTGTTTCTACAGGGTTAAAGAGATAAGTTGATATTGCTTTCTTTGGTCTTTCTGAAAAGTAAGAGGGACAGTTTTCTGTAGAATCAGAGAATTATCTGGGTTGGAAAAGACCTTCAAGATCGTCAAGTCCAACCATCAACCTGACTTACCAAGCCCCATCATTAAACTTCGTCCCTTAGTGCCATGTACACGTCTCTGAAATACTTTGAGGGATGGGGACTCCCCCACTTCCCTGGGCAGGCCAGTCTGATGCTTGACCACCTCTCCGTAATAAATTTCTTCCTCATGTCCAATCTAAACTTCCCCTGACACAACTCGAGACTGCAAAACAATGTGATTTTGATAATGAAAATCTTGAAGGTTTTGACCTCCTTCAAAAAAAAAAAAAAAAAAAGAAATTCCCCATATCCCTTCCTCCAAGCCAGTTATTATATGCACTGAATGAGATCCACCAATGTTAGTCCTCTGAGCTATTCTTTATGACGAACAAATTTACCACTGAATTTCTCCTGGCTCTAGGTGAGACCAAAGCAAGGAATCAGACAAGCAGAAACCAATAGCTTCTGGTAGTTATACCATGATTTACACCACAGTGCAATAAAATAACTGCTCGTGAACACTATCCCCATCCTTATTAAGAACACTGAAGACTTGAGGTTCGCCCTTTACTCAGCAGCGCTGCCCTGCCAGTACCATGCTTTTTGGGCTACTGAGGTGTCCCATTGCCCTGCCAATGCTGGGGGTCTCTGGAGCATTTGAGTCACAGAAGGAGGGTGCGAGCATTGCGTTAGGTGTGGTGGTTTTACCACGCTAGGCAGCTGAACACCACAACTGCTCTCTCATTCCCCCTCCTTAGAAGAGGAGGGGAAGAGGTAAAGGAAAGAACAACTCACAGGTTGAGATAAGGATAATTTAAAAAGTAATTATTAAGGAAAGTTTATTATTAATTAAACAATTTAACTAAAGGGAAAAAAAAGGAAAGGGGAAAAGGGAGGGGAAAATAAAATAAAACAAAACAAACAAACAAACAACAACAACAAAACAACAAGCAAAGGCTATGTGGAAGTGCAGAGGAAAGAAATTACTCTCTACTTCCCACAAATGAGTGATGCTTGACTACGTCCTTGAAGCAGGGCCTCAACGCATGTAGCTGGTGTTCAGGAGGACAGACGTTTTCGCAATGAGAGCCCACCCCTCCCCTCTTTTTCTTTTTTCCATCTTTCATTGCTGAGTGTGACACCACATGGTATGGAATAGCCCTTTGGCTGGTTTAGGTCAGCTGCCCTGGTGATGTTTCTTTTCTCACATTTTTGCCCACCCCCTAGGAGGGTTAGAGAGGGTCCTGATGCTGTGCCAGCACTGCTCAGCAGCAGACACAATCCTGGTGTGATCCCACTGCTGTTCTAGCTATAAGTGCAGAGCACAGCGCTGGATGGGCTGCTGCAGGGAAAGTTAACATCCCAGCCAGACCCAGTACAACAGAGAAAACTGCATTTCTTTTCATCTCATCAGGTGCAGGAGAAGGCTCTTTGCACAGGCTTCAGTCCCTGTGTTTCATAAACTCTCCAGAGCCACACTGGGACAGAAATCAACACCCAAAAAACATTTTAAGAGTAAATAGCCCCAAGTACATTCCCAGCAGGTTGCCAGGTTTACCAACAGCAGAAGAGCTTTTAAGTTACTAGTGCTGGGTTTTAGCTGTCGTTTGGGGCTGAAGCAGTGGCGAGACATGAGCAGTGCTGTAAATTTGGCAGTGGCTCTGGCACATGTGAGCTGCTGGCGGGAGGCACTGCGGGCAGCAGTTTCCTCTGCTCCTGTGGTTTTCCTGGCTGGTGTGATGCCGTAGCATCAGTGGGCAGCTCCCTCCAGCTCAGTTGCAGTCCACAAATACCAACCCAGTGCTCCAGTTTGGGATACCACAGTGACAACTGGGCATGGGGACACCTGGTGTGATGGCAACCTGAAGGCAGACGCATCCAGAGAGGATACAAAATTCAGCAGTGACGTGACCAGCCTGCAGGCAATGTCCCAAGTGAGTCAGGGGCTTCTTCACTGCCTGAATTCAAGAAGTGCCAGTTACCAGCATTCCTCGATGACACCAGCCTTTCATAACATCCCCTAACCCCTCTGCATGTACTGTTTCAGATGGTTGTCAAAACACAGAGAAAGGCTGAATATCTGAGGCTCCTTTTCTGAGGAACTGGATAATTATGATAGTGAAGGAAAGAATGAGTGAGAAAAAACAATGTGCCTTTTGAGCAAGATGTCATTACCTGCAGGACCCAGGTACGACCTTCACTCCCCACCACCACTGCAATGTGAAGCCTTCTGCTGTAATGATAATATGACTTTTTGTTCAAATGAGGCTTTATTTAGGAAGAAATTGCTTTTATCCACCTTCAGGAGAAAATGGAGGTCAATTGTCCAGCGCTGCACGGTGAGACTTGGCAGAGATGGCAACAAATGAGGGAGCTGGGCTGCCAGTGCCACAGCCTGACTCCCAGCTGCCTCAGCCAAATTGCTGGTGATTCAGTAATTTTTAACATTTTCTTCTGAATCTTCACTGATGATGACTGGGGGGGGGGCAAGGGTAGCATGACTCCCCCAGACTGAGAGGCCAAGCAGATTCTTCAGTTTCTAAACTCTCCGGCAGGTTAGAAAGTAATTTCTGTTGTCATATTTAGGTCCATTAGTAGCCTGGCACATAAATTGTCTCCCATCCCGCTGATGATGCTTGGTTGTGCTCCAGCTCCCAACACACCACGGTGCTGAGGACTGCTGCCTGTGTTATTCCCAGCCAGTTGTCAGCAGGAGAAAAAAAAATCATTACAGATTTTGTCACTGTCATTCAGTCCAGGTTGGGCAAATTAGGATGGAAACTTTAATGTTTCGTGAAAACAAGTGTTGGCTACAAGTGGCTTTTGCTGGTGCTTGCTTTCTGTGCTCATTGTAGCCATTCCAGAGGTTTTCCAAACAGCATGGAGAGGAGAAAAGTTGCAGAAAAGGACCGAGGAGTCCTGGTGGACACCAAGCTGAACATGAATCAGCAACGTGCCCTCAACACCAAGGAGGCTGACGGTAGTTTTGGCTGCATGAGGCAACGTATCACCAGCAGGCCGAGGGAGGTGATCCTTCCCCTCCCCTCTGAGTCCAAGGGCTGTCTGACAGCAGGCACAGCTTCAGGAGCTTCACACTGTGTTTCGGCTGTCAGTACGTGGTGCTTGCTATGGCCACGGGGGTGGGAGGGGCAAACTGAAAGCCAGAAAAGATGGACATAAACATCTCCTGCCTTTTAATTTACTTGTGACCAATGGCTGGCTCGTTGTCATAACCCACTCACATTTTAAATAGCATTTTGGCATGCTTCCCCCACCTAATACAATACAGATAATTCTCTCACAATGTACCAAAGATAATGCAATTATCATGGAGTTTCCATAGACATGTTTTATATTATCTACTTAAAATAATCCAATTTCCTTGCTGTAATCTAATCTAGCTGTGACTTGGTTTGCCCTAAATGAGATATATGCTTAAAGACAACTCAGAAATAATAAACAAGGGGAGGATAAATGCTGTATCACTGCATTTTGATTGAAGCACTATGGATTCAGAGTAGCAGACCTGGCGGTATGTCTGTCTTGGGGGTGATCCATTTGTTAATGACCTGACAGCACAGCATGTAAGGGCACTGCACACCTCCAGATGCAGGGAGCCCAACCCATGCTGCTGGAAGAACGTGGTGAGCTTTTCAACCACGGGGGATGAGGGCCATGGGATCTGTGACTCTCCTTCTCCTCAGGACTATTTGGGAGTTCAATTACTGAGCCTCGTTCATTAGCTGCCTCCTTCTGCTCCTTAGCACCAGGGTCCCTCAATGAGGAGCATCCTTCAGCGGCTCCTCGGCACCAGCTTTTCCTTTAGCTCAGCTGGCACGGTGATAAATGTGGCTCCAGCAACGCCAAGGTGGAGGAAGGGCCCGATGTGAAGTACAACATTAACAGTTATCAGTGGCGTAATATGATTTGACAATACAGTTAGCAGATTAAATAAGGATTAATGGGACTTGGCCGCTGTGCTGCACATGTTTGCTAAAGGAAGCACATCTCTACATCTCATGCATTGGAAGCCTAAGTGGCCACGTGAAACAACCCAAACCATTCCTGGGAGTTTCCAGGTGATGTGAGAAATCACCCCATCTGCTCCAGAAAAAGGGGTTGGATTATTTTTTCCTTTCTCATCTTCTAACAGTCTGTCTGCCACAAAACAAGGTTACAGTTGGCTGAAAACCAAAATGGGCTTTCAGTACCTATCAAAACTTCACAGTCTGACATTTGTCCTCTGCGACCACATGCATCTATCATTTTTTTCTTCTCCTGTCTGCAAAGCATTGTATGCAATGGGCACAAGCACAGAAGTTCAGATGATTTGTTTGGAGAGAAAGACCCCCACCCCCCGTTAACACAGCAGACCTTACTCTACCTTGAATTGCAGTGCAGGCGATGCAGCTCTGGTTGGGGTACATCTCTGGTGGGCTCCAAGCCCATGTCCCTGCAGGTGGGGACAGTGCCACAGCATGTCCCCAAGGCTGGGGCTCCAAGCTGCACCCCAGAGATGACTTGCTCCAAAACACAAAACCCCATGGCCACATGCTGTCCTGAGCAGCACAGCCCACCACCCTGCTCTTCTTGCAGGCGTGCTTTTATAGGCAGACATTCAGCCTACAAGCCCCAGGCGTCCTTTTGGGTTTGTTGCCACAGCTGAAAAATCTGATGGCAGCAGGAGGCCTCCCAGGTGTAACAGGAGGAGTGGGCTTGCCACGTTTTAAAGGCAGATTTGATCCAGGTGGAAGGCCTGATCCTGCTCTTAGCGTCAAAGGTGCACATCTGTCCAGCTCCTGAGTGTCTTGTTCAGCAAAGCTCATAAGCACCTGCTTAGCTGTATGAAGGTGGATCCCATCTCCTCATCTCCGGGATTTATGGCCAAGCTTACAGTTAAATACGTCTCCAAAGTGGCTTAAGTGCTGCAGTGAGCAGGGCTGAGGTGTCTCGCAAGCCTACAGCCTTTGCCAAACCATGTCTTTAAGAAGCTTTTCTGGCTCACAAGATGCTGGTGTTTGTGTTCCCCCAGAACAGAAGCCTGGCAAGGTTTGGGGGGTCTGAAAACACACACAACGACCATCATCTGTTACCAAGTGTCACGTTTGTCCCCATCTGGCCAAGCTGGCCAATGCCTCCTTAGCACGATTGCCGAAACACAATTGTCCTTCCTCAGCCTCGTTCGTGTCTCTGTCTAGGAACAAGATTTGTGTGTACACCACCAACTAGAAAGCTACAGTTTTCTGCACTGATCTATTTCATGGAGGTAAAATAATACACACCATAAGAATAATTTCTGTTTGAAGCTCCTGCGTGCGTAATATTTCCCATATATTTTCTTTTTTCATCTTTAAAATTACTCTGTCACTGCTGAGCTGCAGCCTCTCTAATCTGTACAGATGAAGATGTAGGAAATCCAGAATGTGATATTAATATATGGCAATTCCCAGAGCATTAGGGGCTGACGCATATTGTGGCAGACACCATAAAACAGCAGAAAAAAAAAAGCTAATAACATGTAAAGCAAGAGCAAACCCTATTCCAGGAAGCTTATTTGCAAGCCACTGATGTGAAATACAAGGGGCAGAGGCGTCTGATGGTGCAGGGAGCACAAGAGAAGTGCTGAGAGCATCCCATGCACAGCTCGTTTGGGAATTAATTGCTGAGGATGGGGCAAACCTGCAGCAGCCCAGCCAGGCATTGTGCTGCTGTGTGCAGAGCAGAAAGAGCTAAGCCAGCTCAGACACACTGCTTTAGCTTCTTAAATGCCAGAGATCCCCACAAAGCATCACTCACAATAGTTTGATCTACTTAAACTCTAAACAGTCAAATAAAAATGTGATTTAAAACATTGGGATATAAGAAAAAGAGGCAGTTGAAAGCAGATAAAACAGTTTCAGAAGAGTAATTGTGCACACACATAAAACATTCATCCCCTACACAGTTCACTGGCTTTATATTATAAATTTCAAATAATGCCCCACGAATTAGAATTGAATGTAGTGTGAGAAGCTACATGATAAAGTACAGCAGAAAAAAAAAAAAAAAAGAAAAAGAAAAAAAAACAACCAACTCTAAATCCTAAATAAAATCTGCCTTCTATCCTGTTCTGTCCCCCAAGCACAAGCTCTTGTTTCACCTATGAATTACAGTTTCTGGTACATAGGATGTCAGGGATGTTATTTCATTATTTCACCAAGGGAGGATCATAAAACCTGGCTTTACAACAACTATACATAGCCTGAAAAATGCCCAGAGAGGAGACAGAACACACCACCACATCCCCTCGTCAAGTCAATCAAGCGGATTTCATCAGGAGGAGAATATTTATGGACTTCTTCTCAGTCTCTGAACAACCAACACTGTTGGGGTCCCCTGTGCAGGGACAGGATCAGGGGATGCTGGAGGACACGTCCTTGCAGGCAGTGCCCAGCTCGGATGCTCCCTCCCTGCCACAGCAGCAGCACCACACTTTTTCCCTCTGCATCCAAAAATATGAAGCCTGACATTAATGCAAGGATTTTTGGACTTCTTTCCTCCTTCCTGGAGGCCGGTGGGGCTGGAGCACAGCCTGGGGCCCCATATAACATGCTCCCAAGGCTAAATCCAAGCAGGAATTTCTTTGCTGGGTGGCACAGGGAGAGAAGTAGAGTGGCCACCGGGTAGTGTGATCCCCAAAATCCCAATTAGGCACCCGGGGGGCGGTGCTGGGGGTGCTCAGAGCCCACGCCAAGGACTGAGGATTGATGGAGGCGCTCGGCGCACAGCGGCGATGAGACAACCACCCCTGAATAATTCACACTGCGTTTTCTGCAGGCATTGAGCAGGCTGGAGCACCTCTTATTTTTCACCGTGCTTTATTAGGCACGTGAGAGACACTAAATTACACCCATTGGCACCCTAATTTCTTTAAAAATAGCTGCCTATAGGGCACAGCGAATGGAATTTAATTTTCCCTCAAAGTTAAATATTCCTTACATCAGCACAGGTCTCCAGCAGAGAATCTGACACCAACAGACCAGGAGAATTTTCCACCCTTCTACGAGTGTGACTCAAATACGTATTGATGGCAGAAATGATTTTCGACCTGCATATAAGGAGCTGGAAAGGCACAGCCTGCACTGACAGATGTCCTGGACTTTAATATTAATGGCATTCCCGAGTTTGCTCCCAGGAGGCAGCACTAACAGTGGTTGACTTAATGATTTTTTAAAGAACAATAAGTCATGAAGCATTACAGCGTTTATTCTGAGCTATCATTTATTCTGGGTCAGAAAACAACAACACCCAAGGCTTTTGTTTCACGTTTTTCCGGGGACGGAGGGATGTGGGACGGAGCAAGGAATTACGGAGGCCTGAACCCCTCGGGTACTTGACAGAGCACAGAAAACGAGACCAGGGGCTTGGAACAGGCAACCCCTGATGGGCACACACTGTGGTCACCCAAAGCACCCACCTGACGGTGAGACATTTTTGAGGACAGGTGCGGGGATGTTGGTAAAGCTCAGCACGGCACGCACAGCCGCATGCGTGTGTACGAGCACCACCAAATACGCTCTAATTATTACTTTCTCCCTAATCATACAGCTGCACTATTCTGGGAGTCGCTTTATTGCAGCACTTGGGAAGGAATTAGTCTTGTCAATAACTGCTGAGTGACGAGGGTGTCTGGGCCATCTCCCCCGGGTGCTGCCTTCTCTGTGCTGTCCCCTCCTGCCACCCGTGGGTGCCGGCTGGAGCCCATGGATATGAACACGGGGATGGGGAACCCTGGATGAAACCCCAGCACCCCACCCCGTGCCCCTGCCTTCTGTCCCTCACGTGTTTTTCCTCCCCAGTGAACTCCAGACTTTGACTTTGCCTTCGTTCCCTCGGCAGCTCCCCAGCAGGAGGGGCTGAATAGCTTCAGGCTGCGCTCCCAGCTCCGGATGAGCGTTTTACCAGAAAACGCAGCATCCCCTGGAGCCTCATTCTTCAAAATCAGATTTTCTTCCTTGCCCGAGGTCTCATTACACTTGCTGCCTCCTCCTTGTTTTCCGTCCTGCGTTGCAGGTAATTGCATCAATGTTCTTACTCATAGCTGCAGCGAAAATAAAACGCCGCTTTGTTCTCCGTGCTGAGAGCTGACGCTGGCGATCGCTCCCTCATCTTACCCGGGAAGTACCACTGCTCTGGAATTTATCTTACAGACCCATTTCTTCTCTTTTAAGAGCTGTGGGATGCTCACTTTGCTGGGGGATCACCACAGCACCTTTGGGGCTGCTTTGCCCCAAATCAAGGCATTGCTTTAGGAGAACCCAAGACCAAAACAAATGTTGGTTGCCTGCTAGAAACAGAAGGGGAAACGACTGAAATAAACGGCTAAACTGGACGCAAAATTAAGGGTATTCCATCTGGGTTGTCACTGCCTTGCACACAAACTGCAGAAGTCACCAGCAAAACCTGCTCAAGCAGACGACCACGCATGGTTATTTGCAGGAACGCAAGTAACTCGCACCACCAAGCCACTTGGAGTTGCCAAATAACCCTGAACTTTTTAAAAGGCATTAGCACTTGCTGGAGCAACGCTGGAGCCATCTTTCCGTGTTATTTTCTTGAGCGATTGCCATTTATTTGGGCCCATTCCAGGCTGGCAGGAGGGATGGTGAGGTGGTAATGTAGCGGGTTATCAATTATTCTGCTTTACAAACGTCTCTGTCTTATCTACGAGCAGATCTTTGCTCTGCAGAGAAGCCAATTCATGCAGGCACAGCAGTCGCGGGGCTGTCACTTGTACCACACCAGTGCTCACAGAGGTCAAGCCGCCTTCTGGCTAGGAACAGACTCAGCCAGGCCCTGCCCATAAGTTTGAGTAAAAATCGACCATAAAGTGATGGCGGCCACTGGGATGCCATTTGTAGCACAGGATGGCATTTTCCCCGTGCCTGCCCACCCGCTGGCCGCCGTGACAGTCCTTCAGCATCACCAGCTAAGCCAGCTTGCCCGCTAGTTTTTAATTATCTCTGGTTTGAGTTCGCAGCCGCCACTGCTTTTAGCAGAACAGCCCCAATGGTGCGGGCATCCTTGTAGTTAAAGGCGTGTGATCAGCTCAGCTTTTGCCTATGATTAGCAGGTTTTCAAACACTGGATGCAAAAATTTACAGTGGGATAGTAATATTTTTGGATCTCGCAACGGGTGAAAATTTGGAGGAGGGCAGCAGGATTTGGATGCAGGACATCAGCGAGGCTCTGCCCCATGTCTCTGGGATTCCTGGGGGGGTTTGGGTCTGAGCTCGCTGGGCCAGGAATCGGGCTTTGTTCTTTTTCCTTCGCACACTGCACACAGCTACAGGGAGGTCACTGCAAACCCAGTGCCGCCGCCTCCTATCCAACGCCCCTTTCTGAATGGGAGAAGGCCTGCGATGAGACTGCACCGTGCCCTTCCAGAGCAACTGCTTCTTGATTGCAACAAGTGGTTAATCACCATCCCTTCCGAGCAGACCAGTCTGCAGCAGCCAGTCGGTGCCCTGGAGCTAACGGGGCTGAGTGAGTGCAGGGGAGCCTGGCAGGAGCCTGATCGTGCCTTGTGTGTGTGTGTGTGTGTGTGCACACGTGTGTATAGAGGCACCCTGGGCTTGCTTGGGCATCTGCTGCCACCCAAAATGCACTTGCATGGGGACATTTCAGAGAAGGTCAGCAGGGATGGTGCAAGGGAGACGGTTGCCCAAACTGCTGCAGGGAAATCGAGGCTATTTGGTGTGTTTTCAGTCTTTTAAATGAAACCCATGCCTTGTGCAGAGACATCTGTACAATCACCCAAATTAACCTCTGCGGGGCTGTTTCAGGACAGCCTGCTTTAGGGGCTGGGTGGTGAGATGGGTCCTCCACGCTCCTGGCTGTAGCATCTGCTGGAGCTTCGCTAACAAGAACTGGGTAAGGGATGAAAGAGAGCAGCATCGAGCCCAGCAGGAGCTCCCAGCAAAGACAAGCGTTATCCCTCACTTGTCCCAGGCTCATTTGCCTGCATTCACAAGAAAAAAAAAATAATTAAAAAAATAGCAGTTAACAGCATTGGTGGTAAATATTTAACACAGAAACCTGCCTCAGTGCCGGAGCTGACTCTTGGCCGGTTCCACGTGCCTCGGTTGTCCCTCGCAGCGGGGACTTCAAAAGCTGCAGAGCCCACAGGGAAGGGCAAACTCTCAGGAGCTTTTGGGACGTGGCATCAGCAGTGCCAGGGACAGGTTGGGACTGCTTCAAAATGGGCCCTAGCTGGGAATTGGAGCTCTGGCTGCTTTTTCTAGCAGAAATTAAGCAAATTTGTCAGAGCATCGGGGAAGCAGGAAAGGAAAAGCTGGCCAAGGGGCTTTCCAGGCTTTGGACACGCTCGGTGAACTCTTCTAGACAAGCTCAGCCCTTCCCAGGTTAGCCGAAGCTGCTCCTGTGGTCTGCCCTGTGCCCAAGCCCCAGCGAGGCATGAAGAGGGAAGCCAGCATCCCTCTCCCTTGTGCTCCAGGGTTAAACACACACACACAAAAAAAGGGAGAGAGAGAAAGCGAGTTCTCGTGTTGTTGCCATAGCAGCCTCCTGGATTATTTAGACTGATAGCGTTTGTGAAAATTCAACAAAGGGGAGCGGATCTCTTGGAAATCGGAGCAGATGTAACGTTGCCTGCCATATGCCACTGGGAAAAAACCTACTGGCAAAGGAAACGGTGTCGGAGCTGAAAGCCGAACCCCGTTTTTGGTGGAAAATGTCGCCTCCTGAGACTGCGGGGCAGGGCGATAACGCGGGGAAAATCACCCCCACGTGTGAGCTGCTGCAGGGCAGTGCCAGGGCAGGTGAGGTGCCTTCGCTGCCTGGACGAGCCGCTGTATGCCGTGGAGAAAAGGTTGTTAACATGAAAAATTAATTAGGCAGCTTAACGAGGCTCGCTCCTAAGGAGCCCTGCCCGCACCGCAGGTGAGGCACCGCAGTCTCTGCACCACGGTTTGGGCTTCTCCTGAACAAATCGGTGTTTGGAATTCAGAAATCCCACTAAAAAAAAAACTGTTTTAGTTTGTGTGTGCACAAAACCGAGCCCCGCTGCACTCTTTTCATTCCAGGTTCCCTCTCTCAAAATTTCTTTCAAAGAGGCATTTTGGAGCCTGGGTTTCACCTGGATGAGACGGGGCAGGGCTGGAGCTGCTGGGGGCTGCTGGCGCAGGCAGGGCGGGGTTTGCAGTAGTTTTGATCCTGAGCTCTGCCCCCCCTGCTCGGATGCCGCGCTTTGTGTCTCCTTTCCCAGGCACATTGGGCGATGCCCATGGAGCAGAACCCACGGCACAGAACCAAGGCACCACCTGGGCTGGAAAAGACCTTCAAGACCATCAAGCCCAGCCCTCAGCCCAGCCTTCTGAGCCCCACCACCAGCCGTGTCCCTCGGTGCCACGTCCCCACACCTCTCAATACCTCCGGGGACGGGGGCTCCACCACCTCCCTGGGCAGCCCAGCCCGACACCCGACCATCACAAGGCCTGGACAAGTTGTGGGGATGCAGACGTCTTTCCAAGCATCCTGCCAGCTGCTGTGAAGGTGTCGAGCTGAATGAAACCACCTCTGAGCCACGCCGCGAGCCCAGGGCAAAGGCAAGGCCTGGCAGGCATCACGGAGCAGCGACGGCTCAAAGCAGGCGGTGGCAACAGCCCTGCCAGCAGCGCTGCCCTCCTCGGCACCTTCCAAAAGGCAAAGTCGCTTGGTTAAATTACCAGCCTGTGAGAAATGGATGTCACGTTCCTTTCGAGAGGAAAAAAAAAAAAAAAAGCCACATAAAACCTGCGTCCGTTTTGCCGAGGTACCTCCAGTATAAATCACAGGCGGATTAGTTAACCTCTCTTCTGGGGCACTTCCAGCAGTTAAGCAGCGGACCCGGGGCCATCCATCACTGCTGCTCGGGCTGCCGGCACCGCTCCGGCAGCAGGAGCGAGCCTGGTGCAAGCTCACCACCGGCCCCTGGTGTCCAAAGGCCAGTACTTGGTGCTCAGACCTCGGGGACAGCGGCTCCCCTGCAGAAATTCAGGAAAACGGGGGAAAAAAATGCCCCGAGAGGGCTCTGCAAAAGCTGCGTCATCAGAAATGTTTCCTCCAGTCAACGAGTAACAAAAGCAATCGTGTTTACAGCAAGTCCTCGCACCACACATGCAGAAAATCCAAGCAACTCAGTGACACTTTGGGCAAATTGTGGTCTCTGTCCTAAAAATCCTGCCAACAGCATCAAATCCTCGGTCTCCAGCAATCCGTGAGATGGCCGTGTGTTACCTGCTCGGTCCCATGTTACCTGAGGTTTCGGCAGGACCACGCGGAGCTGTGGCCGTGTACAATTAACACCTGCAGGTGTTTTTACGGACAGGTGCGAGGCTCAGTTTGATGAAGCTGTTGTCCGTGTCACGAGGGAAAAAAAAAAAAGGGTGGTTGGGCATCGGGCCAGGGTGCCAAGGAGGTGGTGGTGGAGTCCCCGTCCCCGGAGGTATTCAGGAGGCGTGTGGATGGGGCACTAAGGGACATGCGTGGTTAGTGGTGGGACTCAGAAGGTCGGGCTGATGGTTGCACTGATGGGCTTGGAGGCCTTTTCCAGCTCCGATGACTCTGTGGCTCCATGGGTCAAAGATTTCATTCCCTAATTCTCATTCGTGCTCCTGCCTCAGCAGCCGTGCTCCTCGGAAGACGCAGTTCAAGGCTTCTGATTTATTTTTTTTTTTTAAGCTGCTTGGGAGAACGGGGATAATTAGCAACGAGGCCCGTGTGTTCAGAACGTGCAATTAGAACTCATCGGGCTGTAATTTACATCTTAGCCTTCCCCGTGCAGTAATTAACGCGGTACCAGGCTGTGCGAGGCGGGGGAGCGGCGCCACGGGGCAGACCCGGGAGCAGGAGCCGCGTCTGAGCCCTCTGCACCCAGCGGGCAGGGGATGGGGAGGCTGAGCCCAAATCCCAACCCGAAATCTCAGCAGGTGCCAGGAGAAGCTGCGGGCACCCCACCTCTGCCCGGGTCGTGTCAGCTTGCACAAAAGCCTGCCTTTTCTCCAGAAAACAACAAGACATTGTGGGGTTGGTGTGATGGGTTCGGTACCAGCCATCACCTCTGCTCCTCCATCCCCCAGCCGACACATCCCTGCTCTCTGACACCCAAACACCCAGATCAGAAGTGGAATATTTGGGGATGCCGCCCCCTGCTTCTGCGATAGCACTGAGATGATGCTTTCCAAAGAGCCTGGAGGCATCTGGGAGAGAGATTTCTTCTCCAGAAATATCAGGGGGTTGCAGCCAGCTCTGCTCAGGGACCGGGGCTGGGGGGTGAGGCCCCTAGCAGGGCTGGGCTTAGCCATGGGGAGCATCCCTGGGCGAGCACCAAGAGGTGCCCAGAGCCCGTGGCTTGGCATCTGGCTGCTGAGAGCTGTAATTAGCAGCAATCATCTCACGTGAGCGGCAGCACGCCTGGAGCTGGGCGAGTTTGATCAGCCCCAGCGTGCTGGGCGAGGGGACGGCTGCCTTTGCCCGGGAGCCGCAGTAGCAAAATGCAGCTGAATGCAAAAAAAGCGCTGTAAAAGGCGAGCCTGAGGCTGCAGGCAGGGCTCGGGGGGCTCCCTGCATGACACACAGCGGGCTGGCGTTTCAGAAGAGGTTAAATGATGTAGCAGCAGCCTGGCAGGGAAGCAGCACCACATTTTGGCAGATGGTGTCCCATGCCCTGCCCCTGGCCGCAGCCGGCGGGGTTTTGCCTGATGCCCTGCACAAAGGCTTCCCCAGGAGCATATTTAAGTGTTAATTTTTTATGGTGTCTCACAGTTTATTTTTTAATTAAGGCTGTGCTGGAGCTGGAAGGGGAAGGGCTGTGGCTTCCCCAGCAGATGCTCCTGGTCGTGGTCATACCACCCCCAGGCCGGGAAAGGGGAGCGGGGTGGGGGTGGCCCCTGGGGCACAGCCCGTTGTGGTGGCGTTTTCTTATTTACTGCAATGAGAATACTCAGTGTGACATCTGTAATAAGACGATCTTCTTAAAAAAAAGAAAAAAAAGCAGCAAAGAAATTCCCCCAGGCTCCACTGCCTCCAACACAGCAGATCTGGCACGTCATTAAGCCCCATCTTTTCTGCTTACAAATGACAGGGCACGTGGTGTGGCTCCGGAACGGCCTTTCTGTCGCTTCTGGAGCGAAACAGGGTGGGAAATAAAAATCAGCGAGCAGCAGCAGCTGCAGCCATGGACGGACGTGAGCTGGCCAAGCTGAGCTCGCAGGTACCGCACACGGCGATGCTCCACGTCTCTGCTCCCAAGTCCTCATGCCGGCACTCCCGGAGACAAACCGAGCCGTTCCTGGCACAGCCGAGCCAAAAAGCTGCTGAGTGGGGTGGATTGGCACAGCTCGGTGGTGGGTCCGGCACCACTCCCTCCTTGCTTTGCTTTTTCCAAGGGCGCTGCTCTCAGCCAGTCGCTAAAACCAGGCAGGAGAGCTGGCTTAATCACGTTAGCAAATGGCTCCCAGGACATAATTGCCTGGCTGATGGCAGTGACCTCATTTAGGCGCTGTTAAATTGGGCAGTAACCGGGACATCTGGTGTCTCTGACATCACGGCAGCAGCGAGGGACACAACCGTGTGGGTGCCTGGCTGCCGGGGCTCCCACGGGGGGGGTTTGTCCATCCCACAGCCCGAGCTGCACGGAGCTGGGTGGGACAGGTCCCCGTGGGGGTTGGGGAAGGTGGGAAACCAGGCAGGTCCCGGGGAGCCAGGGCTGCTTAGGCTGAGGGCAACTCAATGAGCAGGCTGCTCAGTGTCAATACAGGTAATTAATTACTGCTGCCTGCCTTGTTTAGCATGCCTTGTCCTCCTGGAGCAACAGCTTTCCAGCCCTGGGGGCATCAGCCCTTGCACAGCAGGGAAACCCAAACCCGCACCTGCAGGTGGTTTCTGGGGGTGATGAGTGGATGCAGCTGCGGTGCAGAACAAGCCCCGGCCCCTGCTTAAGAAACCTGGCCCTGGGCTCACAGAAATTTGTCACCTGGCTGCCTGGAGGGGGACGACTGGGGGCTCGTCCTCAGTGACCCTCTGTGGCACCCACCCTCCAGGGGTGCTTGGGCAACACCAGGGCAAGCCTGTGTCCATCCTCCTCCATCGGTCCTGCCTCCCGTTCTCCGGGCTTGGCGTGCTTGCTGAGGCAGCGTGCTTCATTAGTGCTGGAAGTTAATTGTGTTTGAGGCTTCCCTGCTTCCTGCTCTTCCCAAGGAGCACCGGCCGCTCCCGAGCAGCGCCGGGCACCTCCTGCACCTTGCTCAGCCCAGTGTTTCTCAGCTGCCAGCAAGGCTCCGATTGTTTGCAGAAGTACAAATGGATTTTAGAAGGGTCCCAGCAAGACTTTGAGGCCACGGCTGCCTTGCCGCACCTCCAGCCCCCGGGCAGGCTTTGCTATCGATCTGTTTATCGCTGTGCTGAGAGCGCCGTCCATCACCACGCCACAGCCAGCCTGCAGCACTGAGCGGGCACCCGGAGCGCCCCAGGGTGACAGATGGGATGCACCCCTCGTTTGGCATCTTTATGGAGCATGAAATACTCACCCTGTAAAGCACCGACAGGAAAGGCAGCAGCCAGGCCCTGCCTGCTCCCAGCTGGGGGTGGGAGCAGCTCTGCTGAGCTCCAGGTGGAGACGCCCAGTGCGAAACTGAGCCGGTGCCACAGGGTTAACCCAGAGCTTTGGGAGAACCTCTCTGGGACAGACCTGGCTTTCCAAAAACCTGCAGGGAAGCAGAGGCTGCTTTTCAAACCACTGAGGTTCCTCTGCACCCGTGCCCCAGGTGCGTGCGGACGAAGCTCGGGGCCCCGCAGTGATCCGGAGGTGACAGGCAGGCGCAGAGGACAGGAGGGGGCTGGCTTTGAGGTGAAGCCAGAGGCTCACACGACTGCAGGACAAATAACCAGAGCAGACAAAACGGCAGCAGCACCTCAAGGAGTGTCCCCGTGGAGCTGGCCCTCGGCTGTGCCACCCCGTGAGTGCCCCATGGTGGCACAGAGGCATTGTCACCTGGGGACAGGCTCTGGTAGCGATGCTCTGAATCAGCCAGCCCCCCATTTGGGCAGGGTGGCCACTTTTTACACCACCTCGTGCCAGGCTGGAGATTTTTCCTTCTAAACGAGGCTCTTCTGTGACGACCAGGAGGGGAACCAGGTGGCGTTTTGTGCAGAGTGTGCCGGGGACGGGCCCCCTGCCCCAGTGTGCTCCTGGGGACGCCGCAGCTCCAGGGCCCCCGAGCTCTGTGCCAGTGGCTGCAGGAAAGGTGGCCAGAGGAGCTCCAGCTCTCCGGCGATGTTTGGGATCAGGCTTGAAACCCCCATAATTAAAAAAATACAGATGATTCCAGCCCTGCTCTGTGCCTCAAAGATAAACATTGCTTTCTTTCCCCAGTGGCCCCTGTGCAAAGAAAAAAAAGAGGCAGGAGGCTGAGAGGAGCTCCGAGAGCTGCTGAAATGCTTTGTTTGGGGCTTATTTGCTCTGGGCGCTGGGGGACGGCTACGATGGCCTGCCCGAAACAAAGGCCAGCACCGCGCACACGTACGGGGAAAAAAGTGCCGGCGAAATCTTTAAGGTTACCCAAGAACAAAACCTTCCTGGAGTCCGTCCCCGGCCTCCCCAGGCATATGGCTTTGTTCCTCCCTTCCTTCACACAAGCACACACCAAAAAAAGAGGCAGAAAAAGGCAAATCGGCTGCAGCCGTGCATCCCCAGCAGGCGTGCTGGGCCGAGCCGTGCTTCTGCACTGGAAGGCGCCAAGCTGCAGCCAGCACCCGCTCGTGGCCGAGGCTCATCCGCCCTGCCAAGGATCACCACGTGCAGCAGGAGCTCCCCGAAGCGCTGCAATCCCCCATTTCTGCACCTGCTGCTTCCCCGTCACTTCCACCGTCCTCAGAGTGCGGCCGCATCTCAGTCCCCGGCCCCCCTCGTGCCCCACGGACCCCGGGCACGGGGACAAGTGGACCTCAGGTCGTGGTCACCCCGATCCCTCCCCAAATGTTAACCCTCCACGGCTGGGTTATCCACGGTGCAGAATTGGAAGAAATAAGAGATCTGCCTCGAGAGAAGGGCTGGAAGACTTAATTAGCTGGCTGCTGGCACTCGGCAATTACTGCTGTACGGCACGGCCCAATTATGCTGCTATTAACTTCAGTTCTCGGGAAATTCGGTGATTAATAATACTAATAATTCTGCTGACCTCAAAGTAATTGCAGAACATTAAAGGAGAAAACTGTTTCTAATTAAGCAATTCCCAATCCTTCTGTTTTCTCCGGTTCTCTCAAAGCCCCCGGTGCCCCCTCAGCTGTCGCTGCCTTGGGGCCGGGGCTGGCAGCGGGGCAGGGCAGGCCCGGGGAACGGCTTTTTCCCCCCAAGAAGTGACGTTCCTGGAGCCATTCAGTGTGTTTTTTGTTGTGTTTTTCGTTTTTTAGAAGCCTGTGTGAGCCAGAACCATGCTCCTGACAGGCTCCAGCGTCCTGCTGAGCTGCAGGGAGGAACACATCCCGCGGGGAAAGCTCCGGGCAGGTTTGCAGTCCCGCAGGAGGCTGGAGGCCGCCCGGCCGCGGGTGTTTGGTGCAGGAGGAGAGCAGCGGCTGCTGCTTGCTCCTGGAGCCAGGCTCAGGGCAGGGAGGGCACGGAAAGGGAGCGGTGATGAAACCCACGGCTGGGGAGCTGCCCAGGGCCACACGCGGAGCTCTGGCAAAGCTGGGAGCTGGGCAGCTCCTCTCCCCAAGCTGGGCACAGCTCTCGGTGTGGGTGCTCACGAAGCCCCCAAACTTTCCGACCAAGGAAACAAAAAAGCTCTCAGTGGCTGGGTCGGGTCCCTTGGGGGTTGCTGCCCTCTCTGCCCCGTGGAGCAGTGGCTGGCGGGGCCGTGTCACAGCCCCGGGCACCCCGACGTGCAGCACCCTCCTGCCAACCTCCAAAAATGGGAATTTAACAAAAATCACTGCTAGCTCGCACGGTCTGAACGCGATGCCTTTCAACACGAGTGAAATGGAAGCGTTTCACCCCGACAGCCTGTGCTGGGTGCTCGCAGCGATGCCATGTGAGGGCTAGGGCAGAGCAAAAGAGCAGCCTGGGGGCGCGCTGCTAGCACTGAACCCCAAGGAGGACAGAAGCGGACACCACAAAGCCCCTTTGCTCTAGGTGCTGAGGACGAGCCCCAGACCCCGCTCAGCACACAGGCAGCCGCGGTGTCCCAGCTCTGCCCACAGCCGTCTGCAGATCGGTTTGTTAACTAAGGCAGCTATTAGCAAGCTTCTGTAGCTGTTTTTTCTCTTCTTCTTTTTTTTTTTTTTTTCCTCCCGTCTTGTTGTTTCTGCTCTGGCATGCCAGAGAGATTTATAGAATCAACATCAAAAGCCCTGAAAGTGTAGGGGATGCCTGTGCTAAGCTGACCAGCAGCCTCCAGATTTGTCATGCTGGTATTTATTAAAGCACTGGCTACTGGGGGAGGTTACAACTACGTTAAGATCAATTCCAAAAGCCAGCAGTGAAAATTGCATCAAGGCCAACCAGTGCCAGTGAGCACGGTCCCTGCTCCTTCCCTCTGACAGCACAAAGAGAGAAAAAAAATTAACTGGAGGCAAGGAAACACAGCAAGATGACAAGAACAGGTGGCGCGTTGGGCTGCTGAAGGCTGCGCTGTAGAAATACTCACCTGACTTCAGGCTGCTGATGTGCAGCAGGACATTGAGGTAGCCCCGAGGAGTCCAGCCATCAGAGATGACCAGCAGGGTCCCCGCAGCTGGAGCGGCAGCGAGCGGGTGCTGTTGGTCAGAGGAGGGTCAGAGAACAATCCGACGGCGATGGGTGAGGGGAGAGACTGGGGTAACAACTCCTCTGTCCTGCAAAACCTCCGATCAGGGGGTTGGAAGCTTAAAGACGGAGGCCAAACGGCAGCAAGGGTTAGATGAGTTCAAGGTTCTTTCTGTGTTATGGTCAGTAAGGTTTTCATACTTGGAAGAATTATCACAAGACCAGCAGATCGGTGGAAAAAAAACAACCCAAAACACAGGATTCGTTCTTTAAAAACACACGAAATACTTTTATAGCTAGCTACAAACATAACGATAGACATTTACAAGGTATCTTAGTGCATATTTACACTTACTTTTTGTTTTCTTTCCTAGAATTAAAGCTGCCATAATCTTCAAAGACTTTAGGGCTGTTTCAACAGCTGAATTACAAAAGAGCTAATTCACAAATTACAAAATAAACTTAGTTTAAATAAGGAGGAGAAAATAATCCACAAGGTTCACTTCAATATAGATTTATATAGAAAAGGGCTTTCTCTTGATACATTTTCTAAGGTGGTGAAATGGCAAACTTTTAATATTTCAGCCTGTGCTTGGATGGTTTGGACCGCAGCGTGAAGCAGCTCACTCGTCTCTGGCACTTTGGACCACGAGTGTGCTGAAAGGGAAACTGGGTTCAAGCCCCGTGCCCCGCAAAGCTGTGACTCTGCAGCTGGCAGAGACCCGACCAAGGAGGCAGGAGTGCTGAGCTCTGCAGGCAGCAGGAGCTGTGGGGCTGGCTCAGGGAGCCAAGAGGCAGCCGCTTGCTGGCTCCCTGCAGGGGCAGGGTGTGGAAGCTGCCCCGCTCCACGCTGGGCTCCAGGTATTTCAGCATCCCCACTGCTGAGCCTGAGCAGAGACCACGCTGAATGAAAGCGAGTGTTCAAATACCTCTGAATTTGGGGTAACGGATTCTGCTTGAGTTTGCAGGGCAGGTGGGCTTCTTTCTCTTGGCTCTCAATAGTTTAGCGTGGCCCTAACAGTGTCGGACACAGTGGTGCGAAACGGATGGGTCTGAATGCTCCTGAAAGCCTGAGAGGCGATGCTGTTGGAAGTCAGACTCTAAAACAAACTTAGAATAAGATCTTTTTGAAAAGAAATGTATTTTCTTCATAAATACAGTACAATTACATTTTACAACGTCTTTTAACTTTCTAGACATGAAAACGCTAGCTTTTTTTAAAAAAAAAGTTCCTATACAAATACATGGAAAGAGAACCCCCTGCCCACAGCCCCCGGCCCTGGCACGGAGCAGAGCCGCCAGCTCCAGGGAAGGCAGAGGAGCCCAAACACCCCCGGGGTGTCGCTGTCCTCGCTGCCCCGAGTTTACATGGTCACTTTAGAGGTGGAAAAGCGCAGCTCCTGCAGCGGGATCACGGCTGGCTCACGGGATGTGGCTGTCACACACCTTAACACGCCGCCGCGGGCTCGTGGAGCAGGAGGCATCCTTGGAAATGGTCCTGGCCAAAAGCCCTGCAAGTCCCCTCACTCAGGCAGCCAAAGAAACTGAAGCAAAGCTAACGCCAGCTTTGTGCCTCACATTTTGTGGTTGCTACAAAAGGGAAAGAATTGAAGCTCCCTGACTGCACTTGCTTACCTTAGCCACCCTTGGCAGACTCCTGAGGAGCAACTCAGATCCCCAGGGGTGCTGAGACCAGAGAATTACAGCTCTGGACCCCGCAGGAGCTGCCAGGCAGGAG